TGCTTTGTTTCCTGCACTTAATTAAGCCTCAACTTTTGTTTTCTTTATTATTAAAATCTCTGTTATTAGTCTAACTTAGACTAATAACATAGATTTTCATTTAAGGATTTACTCTGTTGTATTAACTGTTAAACTGTCAGCTATCAAAGTCAGTATTAAAGAAATAGTTTGAAGCTCCCAATTTTTTACCAATGAATTTCCCTAAATTCAAAATTCATCGGCAAAAAATTTGGAGTTGTCACGTAGGTGTTATGAAAGAGAGTTTGTAACATTGGTTTGTAAGTCAATCTTTATTGTATATATAAGCAACTATTGTAACAAATCCTCAAGTAGATGTATAAAAATGCATCTGTCATTGAAATAAACAACAAAATTACATTTCTCTAAAAGCTAGTTCCTTGTAACCAATGTTCTGAAACCTGAACCAAGCAATGACCCGATCAACCGACCGGGTCTCAATTCGAACGATTGAACCAATCGGACCAATCAGTCGAATCGATGATGTCATCATGTTGATGTCAGCATGACCAAAAAATCCGAATAACCTTAAAAGTTCAATAAAAAACTTCAACAACAATCACAAAATCAAAGTTTACAACTGATTGATTACAAATTCATAAAGAAATAGATCATTTTTTAATCAAAGGCATACAATCATCAATCAACCAAACCAAAACAGAAGATGCAACAAGTGCCTGATTTGAATCCCAATTAGCCGTAACTTTCTTGATTTGAACCCCAATTCTCATTGCATCAACTCCCATTATCCATCTCAATCTTCATCTAACTTATCGCCCTCAAATTCATATACACTAGCACGATAAGGACTTGCATACTTGCGAAACTCTTCTTTTTCTTTATTCTTTACCCCAAATTCTTTTAGTGCTTCTTGCATCTAGAATCTAGCATCATAAGAAACCTTTAAGCACTTTCCAACATCCCTTTTTACTCCTGTTAGGTGTTATTTCATTCGAAAAATACCTCCACCTTTAGTTACCTTGCCACATTAAAGACATGTTAATATATTCTTTCTATTTTTATCACCCTCAGCAACATGTGTCCATGTTACATCACCCCTTCCTCGAAAAGATTGTGAGGAAGCACCCGCAAATGTAGAGTTTTGCCCAAACGCAAATGATGACATTCTCTTCCCTAACAACCAACAAACGATTAGTTTTAGATAAAATCTATCATTTTAATTTAATAATTCTATCTTAAAAAAAAAAAAAAAAAAAATTGTTTGGTGAATTAGAATTCCAGTATTTTAGACGAACTTGAAAAGCAATTCTAGTATCTATACCGCTTTGTTATTCTCTCCATATTAAATTAAGGGACTTGGACTAACAAAGCCAATTAGGCAAAACCCAATTAAGATCCAAACTGTGTAATATCTATGCTCTCAAACAATTTGCTTTCAACTTAATTAACTCATAAATCTCCAATTACTAGCAAATTGTCACCACCCAAACTAACTTTTATCCAGATTACCAGTCATAGCTCCCAACAAGAAAACAAATAGAGATAAACACGAGAGCATAAAAAATCATATTCCAAAGGCAAGTAGCATGACGCTGTCTAAAATAGTTTAAGAACTACGACTAGCTCATTAGCTAATAACACTTTCACAAAACCTTCCCCATAGGCAATAAAGCTTTTCATCTTATGAAGGAAGCTATAAGACAGCTCGGCAAATTGACAAATTGACAAACAATACACCATGAATATGAGCATCAGATAAAAAGTGTAATGAATATTTACCACAACTACAAATGAATACCAACTTTGAAGTGTTTGTATCAGCAATACGTTGAAGGAGGAATTTCTTCACAACAACAGATCTACTAATACGTTGAAGAAGCGATTCCAATTCACTTAAATTTGAAAAACCTTCTAAAGCCTCAATTTAGCATTACAGGAGAATCTTTTAATCATGTAGAACATGCAAAGCCATAGTGCAGAAGTATTGTAAGTCATATGACGTATGTGGTCATTAATCAATTTGTTATTAAGTTAATTTAGGGATTGCAATAACTGCAAATCGGAACTCGAACAATCTCAATTTCATTTGGTTGAAGTGCAATTGTTCAACATTTCTGTTAACTCCAACGTAGAACAAAGTTTCAGGTGGGGCGAAAGTTGGTCATGAGTGTTGCTCTGTTTTAACTAATCACAATAGCCTTGAAAATCCTTCACAAAATTAATTGTTTCAGTTAATAATAAAAGAAAACAAAGTGTCTATGTAGATAAATCATAAGCTTCCCAGAAATTGATAACCAAACCAGAAATCATAATAAAATAAAGAGCTTAAGAAGAAAACCAGACCAGAACAAACTGAAAAATGATTAAATCTTCAAAGCTAACTGTCCAACAATTTTGGTTTACAGAAAATGTTTGTAAAATTTTTTAAAACAACAAATTCCTTTACATGCTTCAGAGACCAAATGCATATTAACATTAAGGTCTTTCAAAAGATTTGTTAGAAACTGGTACCCTGTATTTACTATCTCAAACAACTATAAATAGATGAAAATTTTCATCTCAAAACTGATCAATAAGTTGCTTGATTTATTAATCATGTTCGAATTCCTTGACTCGATCAATTCATTGTTCCAAGAATATTTGATGCCAAAAGCTAACTGTGACATATGAAAAATGCATTAATTATTTATAGGATTAAAAATGACAATGATGGTGTTAATTCTAAAAAAGGGTAGTAAATTGTTCTTTTAAAGAAGCAAGTAAGAGATAGAAATATAGATTAGAGGCAAGCTCACCCAACAAAATGTGAAAACCAAAAGAATCAGTAGTTGTTTCATGAGGCAAATTTGCCTTTAGTTCTACAAGTGCATCAATGAAGTTTTTTGTGGCATCACTAGACTCTATCTCCCTTCTTGCGACTATTCATAAAGCCTTATCTCATCCTGGCTGGCGTGATGCTACGATAGAAGAAATGAATGCTTTAGATGTTAATGGTACTTGGACCTTGGTTGACTTACCTACTGGAAGGAGACCTATTGGATGCAAATGGGTGTTTGCTGTTAAAGTAAATCCTGATGGGTCAGTGGCTAGGCTTAAAGCTCGTCTTGTAGCTAAAGGCTGCTATGCTCAAACTTATGGAGTGGATTATTTTGACACTTTTTCCCCTGTGGCTAAATTGACTTCTGTTCGCTTATTTATCTCTATGGCGGCTACTCACTCTTGGCCATTGCATCAATTGGACATAAAAAATGCCTTTTTACATGGTGACCTTCATGAAGAAGTCTATATGGAGCAACCACCTGGGTTTGTTGCTTTAGGGGAGTATGGGAAAGTTTGTCATCTTTGCAAATTGTTTAATGGTTTGAAACAGAGTCCACATGCTTGGTTTGGAAAGTTTAGTCAGGTAGTTGAAAAGTTCAGAATGACAAAGAGCAAGTCTGATCACTCAGTCTTTTACAAACAATCGGCAGTTAGCATTATTCTTCTTGTCGTATATGTTGACAACATTATCATCACTGGGAGAGACACTGCAAGGATTTCATTACTTAAGTCANGAATAAATTTATTCCTAACTAAATTAGGGTTTTAATTTTTTATTGCATATGAAAGGCAACTTAAAATAAAAATAAAAATCAGAAAACACATTAATTAAATCCAAGCCACTCACCTTACTCTCTCACACGTTTTTCACTTGGTGGAGAAGAGAATTTAGAAAAATTCTACATCCTTTTTGCTTCTGTATCTTAATAGCACTTGAGACTGCAAATCGATCGTCATTCTATCTTCGTGTGGATATTAAGAGTTCACTCTTATTTTAGAGTAAGAGCGATTCATGTTGATTGAAGAAACTCCAAACACTGATATGAAATCTAGAAATTTTATATTTAATATTATTTCATATGTAAATAACGTAAATCAGGTATAAACTTCCTAGGTTCAATGTTATTGTTCGGAATTTTATTTTTAATTTCCGCTGTGCAAACCCCATAAGCAACTAACAAACATTTTAATAAAAAGGGTTTTGAACCTGTAGCTGTTATAGTATTTTCAGTTTGATCAAGTCCTTGCCAGTTGCCACTGTCCTATATGATAGGTGGCTGAGAACTACCACTAGACCGACATCAACTGAAGTTTCAACTGGAAATGCAACTCTCGAAGATAAGCCAAAACAAGAAAAAGGGAGAAGACAAAGGGTACAAAAAGGAGGCTTTTGTGGAACCCATAAGCCAAAACAAGAAGAAGGGAGAAGACAAAGAGAGAAGAACTCATTCGAGAAGGTGAGGAGGCAACCATCCTGTACCATTTGAGACGAAGTGAGAACCATTTGAGAAGTTGAAGACAAAGAGAGAAGAAAAATAAGGAATACAGAAAGAAAGAGAAAAAAGAATGCAGTCGCCAATAAAAGAAGGAGAGAGAGGGAAGAGAAGAAGATAAGAAAAAAAAGAGGGAAGAGGGTAAATGATATAATCATCCTTTAACTATTTTTTGAAATTATCATTATGTCCTTCTGCAGTTAAAATTAATGGACAAATTGTAACGGTGGGTGGGAAAATGTCATTATAAAACTTGGCGGGCGGGAAGGTGAGTAGGCGAAACCTTGGGTGGGAAAAAGTTGTTTACTCCCGAAAAAATATTGATTGGAGGAGTGGGTTGGGTATGCATCAAGTAATCAAAGAAGTCAAGTGCTTGGTTGAGATTGAAGTCACCTGTTTACTATTTTCTTTCAGGGATTTGTAAGGTGGGGACTCTTCGATTGTGAGTTACTGTAGGAGTTCTGTTTTGGTATCGAAAGTTGAGGGATCTTTTGACTGAGTGATTAAAATATTAAAATTTAACCTATTTTTGGCAACCAAAAAAAGAAGCCCCAAAAAGGGTTCGATCCCTTCGGAGAAATTTGCTGCTGATTTGCACAGTAAAAGCTGCAGGAAGAAGCCGAAGCTGTGGGTGCGCAAAGATACACAATATTGGTAATTTATGAATAAAAGTCTGAAGTTTGGATTTATAACATGTGCAGATTTGCAACAACTCCGGGCAAAAAATAAAAGTGGTAACCCCAAATGATAAATTGTTGAAAGAAGGGTAAATCAAGCGACTTCCTATCAATCAAGAGCTTAGAGTCTTTGATTAAATGATTCATGTACAGACCACTCCTTATATCATTACTCAATAGTTTATTTGTTCTTGGTAAGAATTACGCAGAAAGCTTTTGTAATGTTGTTTTGCTTTACAATATCTTATGGTGGCGTTTGTTGCCAGATTTGATGGCGTCAACTTTTAATAAAAAGGGTTTGGGACCTGTAGCTGTTACAGTATTTTCAGTTTCAAGTCCTGGCCACTGTCCTATATGATACGTGGCTGAGAACTACCACTGGACCGACATCAACTGAAATTTCAACTGGAAATGCAACTCCGTCGAAGATAAAAACAAAGGAACCTGAGATGCCCGCAGGGGAAGCCAGAGTCTGACGTTTCTCTCCTTCACTTTTTCTTTCCTCTGCATCAATGAGCACAGCTTGAAGATTGTTCCTAAGCTTTTTAACTTCTTTTTCAGCACCAATGACTAGAATCACCTCCTGTTGTATCCCTTTACCAATGATTGAAGTGAGTTGCTGCAGGACACTGGAAACAATTGCTTCAGCCATAATCACCGTGCTAATTTGGTGATGAGACCTTCCCATTGAATTTAGTCGTATTGTCACAATAACCTTCAAAATGATTTATATTTTATCTCATCTACCAAACTTGTACAATTATGTTTGACTTCCCCAGCCCGATAAATTCATCATTCCATGATCATTTGTTGCAAAGCACACTGTTACATGGAAATACAAGTATTGTTTATAGGATTGTATATGACAACGATTATATGTTAATTCTCAAAAAGGCTTGAATATCCATAGGTAATTTAGAATTATCAAAAAAAATTTGAAAAATAAAGGTTGGAGATAACAATATAGATGAGTTGCTACTCACCAAGCAAGTGCCTCAACGAAGTTTTTGCCATTGAACTGTCACATAATTGTAAACTCTCAACATAGGTAACCCAGCTAGTATTCAGTTCTATGTATTAAAGCAAATAGCAGAATCAGAAACACAAAGCTGTGATATGCTTTCCATAAGAAATGAAGAAAGAACAAAAGATATGAGAGAAAGCATAACCAACCATTAGTTGAGTTCTTTCGACTACTCTCCTCACGACATTCTTCCTCTCTTCCATAACCCGAAAATTTGATGAAATTTGAAACTAAAAATAGAAAATAACATGCATTAGTTTGACTTGATTAAAGGAAAATAAAAAATGAAAAAGGCGTCTGTCATCGATAACAATTTGATCCTCCACAATGCAAATAGGAGATGGAAGCTCACCAAGCAAATATTAAGCGAAAAAAAGAGTCCCTTATCAATATCACCAATGCCATTTCCCTCTATTCCATAAAGCGAAACACTGCAATTAGAAAATAAATATTTGACAAAATTTGAAACTATAGATCGGAAATTATATCCCTTACTTAAAAGTATAAAAAAGAGCTTAAACATTGTGGGAAAATTGATATATGAAAATTGGTCTGTCAATGTTTTCCAGCAGGAGAAAAAGTTGTCTGCAGAGGGAATTTGATGGCTAGTTTTAATAAGCTCAAAGAGAACAAATGTCTTAACATAGGAAACTTTTGGTCAGGAAAAGGACTGCAATAAGATCCTCAAACTGGAAACTTCTCAATACATTATATTCAACCTTGATTCTTTAGAAAATTCAAGACAACTTAAACTTGCCTGTCTGCATCAAAATTAGCAGATAAAAATCAAGTGGTGAAGTGCTATCTAGTTTGAACATCAAGAAAAAAACAAAGTAAGAAAGCATAACCAACCAATTGAGTGAATATTCCCCTGCATTTATCCCTCCTCTCTTCCCTGTTTGTTCTAATTAAGGTAGATATGTGAAACTGTGATTGAATAGAAAATTGAATGCCCTAGTCAAAAAAAAAAAAAAAAAAAAAAAAAATTCGTATAAAGATTATCAAATTATTCATCCATGAAAAATTGAGTTAAGACCTTTAAGAGGCATGGACATCTCTCATAGAAGATATTTACAGGATGATAGAAAGTTCCGTAGATGAAATTTGATGCCTTGATTCAATAACTTTTAAGCCCATAAAGGAAATGCAAAAACAACCTCATTCCACCAACATCTGTCATATAATTTACTGCATCAAAAAAATAACATATAAAGGTCAACTTTTCTTCAGAAGTAAACGGCATTTTAAATTTTAAACATGCTTGAAGCATAAAAATTCAGAAAACAAACCTCAATGAACCATAGAAGTAATTCATATGGGGAATTCAGTGCAACTGAAGAAGCTCCCTGGCATAAGAGAAAGGTATTGACAGTTATTTAATGAACCTGTTCGACATCAATCGAAAAATAATCGTTACTTGATGTGTTTTTCTCACTATGTAGATTTAAATGCACCCTCCTAAATCTTAACATTTAACTGGATGAAAATAAAATATAGTGTGTGTGTGTAGAAAAAAGTTAAATTTCTTAAACACATTATCTCCAGAAATTTCAAAATAAGAGAGCAGTTAACAAGAATATGATTAAATCTTCCATTTAAACTCTTAATTCCTTGTCTTGAATCTCGATCAATTCATCGTTCCATGAACATTTGATACAAAAGCACAATGTAACATGAAAATTCAACTATTATTTACAGGAATACAATTGACATTGAAGATGCTAGTACTTAAAAACAACTTGGGTATTGTCAATAACAACTTGTTCTTTTCAAGAAGCAAGTAGGAGATAGAAACATATATCAGATGTACTGACCAAGAAAATGTGAAATCCAATAGATGTAGCACTGGTTTCATAGGGCAATTTCTGACATTGAACGATAATTATTATTGGTCCTAAAATTATTGCTTTTCCCTTGTGTATTTCCTCAGCGAATCAGTTACAGAAATTGGAAAATCTCAGCTTAGGTAGACAACTAATTAATCAGCTCTGCACATTAAATAAAATCAGAAACCCGAGGCTATGATGAGCTTTCTGTTTAAATATTATGAAATGAAGAAAGGATAGAGAATAGTGACAAAACAAAACAAACCATCAACTGAGACTGAGCTCTCTCAACCACTCTCCTAATGCCACTCTTCACATTTTCCATAATGCAAAATGCTGCACAGATCAGACAATAAATATTTTTGATGAAATTTGAAACCATAAATAGAATATTACATGCCTTAGTATAAAAGAAATGAAAGCATTTAAAAATGATCAGAAAATTGATGTAAAGAAAGTGGGGTTATGTCCTTTCCAGCCTTAGTATAATAGAAGGACAAATTTTTCCAGCATGATATAAAGTTCTGCTACTGGAATCTGATGCCTGGTTTCAGTAAGTTCAAAGAAAACAAATGTCTTAATATATGCAAAACTTGGTCAAGAAAAGGAATGCAACAAGTACCTCAATCTGACTTCTTTTTCAATATGACAGTAGGCTATACAAATAAACAGTATGAAAGGCTAGCTTACCAAGCGAATGTTGAAGGCCAGGGATTGAACACTTGTTTCATCTGATAAATTTTCTGTTTTCTTACAAGTGCCTCAATCAAGTTTTCTTCAGTGAATGATGTAATTCTCCCCTCCATTCCTATGGCCTCAAATGTTTAACAGAAATTTGAAATTATCAGCATAGTAATCAAAGAAATAACAGAACCAGTTCCAAAATGATGTGATGGGCTTTCCAATTAAGCATAAAGAATTAAAGAAAGAACAGAGAACAACATTAAGAAAGCATAACCAACCATTAATAGAGTTCTTTCGGCTACTCTCTGAAAACCACTCTTCCTCTCTTCTAAGTTCTGGAGTTTGGTTTTGGAAAAATGCTCTGTTTCAAGTATTTATTATCAATAACAATTTGCTCTATGCAAGAAGCATGCAGGAGATACAAACGTAGGTCATTTGGAAGCTCACCAGGGAAATGTTAAGAACAGGATTGAACTCTTGTTTCATCTGGCAAATCATCTTTTTGTTTACAAGCGCTTCCTTAAATGAGATAAATTGGTCCTGCAGTTCTATAGTCTCCAGTATTGACTCTGATGATCACTCCTTCACATACATCAAAGAAATAAACATAATACTCTGATATACTACCTAATTAGAAATCTAGAAACAAAGAAAGAACAGAAAGCAGCATTGAGAAAGCATATCCAACCACTAATTGAGTTCTATGGACCACTCTTCTAATGCCATTAATTCCTCCTCTCCTCGATAACGAGAAATGCTGGACTGAGAAAATAAATTTTGATGAAATCTGAAACTATAAAATAGAAAATTATATGCCTTAGTTAAAAGTAAAGAAGAGCTTAAACATTAACAGAAAATTGACGTACGAAAAGTGGTATTATGACCTTCAAGACGTACAGACACAAAAGATATTTCCCGGTCTGTCACTGTTTTCCAGCATGACAAAAAGTTTTGCGGAAGGAATTTTATGCCTGGTTTCAATTAGCTAAAAGCGAACAAATGTCTTAACATAGGAAAGTTTTGCTGAAATTCATGACATCATTTGTCAACCTTGATTCTTCAGGAAATTCATGACATCTTAAACTTGCCTCTCTGCGTCAAAATTAACATATCAAAATAAAGTTTAATTATAGAGAACATGGCTTTTCAATGTCCACACTAAGTAGAGAGATAAGCAAGAAAATAAACCTATCACAATGAATCATCAAAGGATTTCATAGACACTGTAATTTGAGAAGCTTCTGACATAAGAGCAATCCAACAGTAAGAGAAACCAAATAACAGATATATAAATCAGTTCTGCATAAAATTTAAAGAACTTGTAAAACCAGTAATTGTGCTATGATGTGCTTTCTAGTTTAAAAATAGGGAAAAACAAAGAAGTGAGAAAGCATAACCAACCACTTGAGTCCTTTTGAGTACATAATCTCCTATATTTGTCCATCCTCTTCCTTATTTGTTCTAAGGCACAAATTCTGAAGCTGTGATCAAATAGAAATTTGCATGCCTTAGTTAAAAGAAAAAAATTGCATAAACAGTATTATCAGATGATTAATAGTATCAAATTCTAGCTTACCAAGCAAATATGTAGACAAAGGATTGAGCACTGGTTTCATATGGTAGATTTTCTCTTTGCTTACAAGTGCCTCAATCAAGTTTTCTTCTGTGCATGATATCATTTGGTCAATTTGAAATTCTTAGCATTGTTAGCAACCATAATAAATAAATAAATAAATGAATAACAGAACCAGTTACAAAATGATGTGATTTACTTTCTAAATAAACATCAAGAATTAAAGAAAGAATAGAAAGCGACATTGAGAAAGCATAACCAACCATTAATCGAGTTCTTGAGTTCTTTCTGCTACTCTACAAAACTCATTCTTCCTCTCTTCAAAGTTTCCCTGGGTTTGGTTTTGGAAAATGCTGTGTGTCAAGTATCTATTATCAATAACAAATTGTCTACGCAAGAAGCAAACAGGAGATAGAAACATAGATCAGTTTGAAGCTCACCAGGAAAATGTTAAGAATAGGATTGAGCTCTTGTTTCATCTTGCAAATTATCTCTTTTTACAAGTCCCTCAACAAAGTTTCTTCTTCCATAAATGAGATAAACTGGTTCTGCATTTCTATGGCCTCCTATATTTGCTTTGATGATCAGTAAAAGAATTCTTGAATTCTCAGAATAGTTAGAATGACTAGAAAATCACTTCTTCACATACATCAAAGCAAGAACAGAAAGCAGCATTAAGAAAGCATATCTAACCACTAATTCAGTTCTTTCGACTACTCTTCTAAAGCCATTAATTCCTTCTCTCCTTGATAAGGTGAAATGCTGGACTGAGAAAATAAATATTTGATGAAATATGAAACTATAAATTGAAAATTATACGGCTTTTAGTTAAAATTATTAAAGAGCTTAAAAATTACCAGAAAATTGATGTATGAAAAGTGGAATTATGACCTCCAAGAAGCACGGATACATAAGATATTTCCTGGCCTGTCACTGTTTTCCAGCATGATACAAAGTTTTGTTGATCAAATTTGATCCCTGGTTTTAATAAGTTCAAACAGAAGTAATGTCTTAATATAGGTAACAATTTATGACATCTTAAACTCGCCTCTCTGCATATTATAAAAATAACTGAATCAGAACACACTGTTGAGAAGTGCTTTTAAAAGTCAGTAAGGAAGAAAGAAAAGAGAAATTCACAACCGACCATTAACTAAGTTCTTCTGACTACACTTCTAACACCCATTATCTTCCATAGCGCAAAATGCTACACTGAAACAATGACTACTTGGTGAAATTTGAAAGTATAAATAGTAAATTACATGCTTTAGTACAAAATGACAGAAAAAAGCACTTAACCATTTTCCAAGCCAGACAAAATTTAAACAGTATGAAATGCTAGCTTACCAAGTAAATGTGAAGAGCAGGGTTTGAGCAATTGTTTCATCTTGTAAATTTTGTTTTTGCTTACAAGTTCCTCAATCAAGCTTTCTTCAGTGCATGATGTAATTTAGTCATCCATTGCTACAGCCTCGAATGTTTAACAAAAAATTGAAATTCTCGGCATAGTTAGCAAACCATCAAGAAGTAACAGAACCAGTTTTCTTAAGATAGGCTTTGATATTAAACATCAAGCATTAAAGAAAGAACATAGAGCAACATTGAGAAAGCATAACCAACCATTAATCGAGTTCGTTCAGAAACTCTCCAAAAACCATCGAGTTCGTTCAGAAACTCTCCAGAAACCATTCTTCCTCTCCTCCATGCCACAAAATGCATGCATCTCTGGAACAGTAAATATTGTGATGAAATATGAAACCTTAAATAGAAAAAATTACATGTCTTTGTAAAAAGGAATTGACAAAAAAAAAGCACGTACTTAACTGAGTTGTTCCGACAACTCTCCTAGCCCCAACACCCATTCTTTCCTTCTTACAGAAGACAAAAAAGCTGCATTCAATTTGAAGCTATAAATAGAAGAACATCACATGCTTTAGTATAAATAAATTAATATATATTTAAGATATTTATTTTTTAAATTAATTAATTAACTCCCCAAATCCTGATCTCTAGTACAAGGCCCATGTACCTAATTTTGCATTAGTAGACCAATCCATTCTTTAACAATTTTACAAAAAACATATAATGCGCTTTTGGTTTATTATTTTGGATAAGATTTTAGAAATAGTATTGGATAATTGAATAGGGAGTATTACGAGATAAAATTTAAAAATTTATGAAAAAAACCCCCAAGGTTTGCTAATTTAATAAACACCCTAATATATTAAAATATTGTAAAATGACAAAAACACCCCTACCACCCGCAATGCCAGATTCTAGCTACCACCGCTGGAATCTGGTCGAAAAATTAGGTAATCATACATAGCAGTCGGATCTTGCGAGTATTCGATCGATATGGCCTTTTCCAGCCATATCCACCACGGATCTGACCGAAAAATGCCAGATTTAAGGCCGCATGTGGCCCTCGATGGCCGGAAAAGGTCATCTTTGGCCGTCAGATCTGGCCATTACCGGCTATTTCCGGTAATTGTGTGACTATTGTGACAAATTCCGGCTACCACCGGCGGTGGTTGCCAGAATCCGGCAAGTATTGGTGGGTGAGGGTATTTTTGTTAGTTTTTAAACTTTTTTTTAGGGGGTATTTATGAAATTAATAAACTTATAGGGTCTAAAAATAATTAAAAATAGACTAATATTTCGAGAATAATGTGCCAAACAACATTTGAAGAATAGGATTGAGAATATGGATAAAAACAATAAGCCAAACGCACTATATTTTTAAATAACTAATTTTGATGAAATAAAATTAATTTTATAAAACTAAAAAAATTTAAAAATAAATAAATTCAGATTAAACTAAAATAAATTCAGAAAAAATATTGATCTTCACAAGTCACCAAAAACCATATTTAACAAGACCCATGTAACGTATTTTGGGCGGTTCCATTCTTTAACAATCAAATTAAACAATAAAAGGTCAATTTTATGTTTATTTATTTATTCTATAATTTTAAATAGCCAATAATTGCGTATGTATAAAACTACAACAAAGAGATTTTGATATCTAATTTGGTTAAAACAAGTGGAGTATATATAAAATAATCATTCAACAAATCCAATGCTCTCTCAATCATTCATTTAATCATTTCTAGTTTGCTTAAGGCAAGTGGAGAGGAGACCAGTCTCTTTCATTTCAATGTAAACATAACCAAATCACAAGTGAGTTAAAATTGGCATGTCAGGCCAGCCATATGTATTAATATTATATTTACTAATTCTTGAATTTGGACCATTATTTAAATTACCTCTAACTAAATCTATCATTATCATTTAACTTAAACATTTGCCTTTTTTTCAATATCTTCTAATTCATTAATTATTCATCACAAATACATTTATTTAAACAAAAATAAATTATATTACCTATCATTTTCCCCTTCATCAATAGTAGCCTAGCAGAGGATAGTTCGCAATATGTTTTTTCAATGCTGTATTCTGAACTAGGTGGTTTGGTAGTGTCTTCAATTTGGGGCAGTTAAAAATCCGCAGAATAACCAGAGATGGCATGATTGTAATATCATCTTCTTCTTCTCCCTTTCTTGTAATCTCATAATCCCACTCTTCTCATTCATCCATATAAGCAAAAGCAAGAGTTTTCAATCTGGGGAAGAAAATAAATGATGAAGATGTGCCATCACTTTCTATTCCCAAAAATTCATTACTCACTCTTTTCAAACTCCTCATAAACCATATCTCTAAAGATTTAAGGGATGGCAATTTTCCCAAGGGAGGCAAATGCTTGCAGTTTATGCATTGAGAGAGTACTAAACTCTTGAGGTTGGTCAAGGACATCATCCAGTTGGGCAAAATAGTGTTACCTCTGTAATACTGTATCTGTAATTTCTCCAAATTTAAAGGTGGTTGTAAGATTTCAAGAAGTGCTTCATCATCCTCATTCGTCCTCTCTCCTTCATCTTCTTCTGCTTCATCATCCTCATTTGTCCTCTCTCCTTCATCTTCTTCTGCTTCATCATCCTCATCAGTCCTCTCTCCTTCGTCTTCTTTTGATTCATCATCCTCATTCATCCTCTCTCCTTCGTCTTTTCTGAAATCCAGAGTCAAATGAAGGAGGTTTTTCTTATTCTTGAGCTCTAATCTTCTAGCCCCATCCACATTTGATACATTTCCTAACTTTTCTATACGCAAATCTCCATATAGGTTAAGGCATTTCAAACCTTCAAGGCTGCATGCTTCATCATCATTACCAACAATGAATGTGCTTAAGGTTCGAAGATTAGTCCATCTTTGAATTCCTTTTGGCATGTATCTTAGATAATAGATCGAACCATTTTCTAGATGACTTAAATTTATTAATTTTCCAATCCCTTGAGGTAATTCTTGCAAACCTTTACATTCACGAACATCTAAAATTTGCAAATTATGTAGTCCACATAATTCTTCAGGACGTTTTCTCATTTGTTGATTGCCTAAATGAAGATATCTCAAATGTATCAATTTTCCTATCCCCTTCGGAAAATCTCGTCCAATAAAGGAAATAGTTAATGCCCTTAAACATGTCAATTCAACAAATAATTTTGTGAACATATTAGAAGGCAATGTAATGAACAAGGGAGCTTCATTATCAAGTATGAAACTACGTAGCCTTTTGAGACTACAAATAGATAAAGGAAATGGAGTCATTTCATCACCACGACCTGTTACCATCAAATGACAAACTTGCTCATGATAAGAAGAGTTTATCATTGGCTCTTTAAGGCCGTTAACTTCTATGTGGAGACATTCATTCTTAGTCAAGAATTGAGTAAAGTCATGTACTAAATCGTGCATCTTACATCCAACGATATTATTGTGATCGTCTTTTACAAAATCTTGGAACAACGAGCGTGATGCTAAGTAGTCAAAGTACTCTTGACCAACTACCTCCATTACATCATTTCCTTCTTGTTTGAGATAACCATTAGCCATCTATAATTTAATCAAATAATCTCTTCTTATGTTATGATCCTTCGGAGAGATGGCACAATATGTGAAACATCGTTTTATCTTGAAAGGCAAATCATTATAACTCAATTGTAGAGGACTGAAAATATCTTTTTCAAACACTTCAAGTTTCCACACTATCTAAGATATTTTGCCACTCTTCTCTAGTTCGTCTAAAGCGCAAAAGACTACCAATAGTCTTTGCAATAAGAGGCAAACCTTTGCACTTGTTTAAAATTTTATTGTCGATCCCTTCTAGATTTTCACACTCCTCTTGAGACCTACCAAAAAATGCAAATCGCCTAAACAACAACCAACTTCTTCATCGGGCAATTCTTTGACAGCAATAATGCTAATTGATGTCGTCACACCTGCCATTGATTCCATCATACCTACCACTGATTCCTTACGTGTAGTAACCAGAATTTTACATCCACGGAGACCATTCTTTAAACAATGATGTAATGGTTCCCATTTTTTGTAGTCGTCTGACCATACATCATCCAAGATAAGCAAAAATTTCTTTCCAGCAATAGATATACTAATACGCTGAAAAAGCAATTCCAATTCACCTAAATTTGGAGTAGAACCTTCTAGACACTCGATGATTGCTTTGGCTATCCTGTTCTCATCAAAAGGTTTGACACACACACCCACATTACTTTATCAAAGTTGTTTATCACCTCATTATCTTTAGAAGCAAATTGAGCAAGAGTTGTCTTACCGATTCCCCCCATCCCTATAATAGAGATGATATGGGGGTGTTGGTCACTACTCTCAAACAACATGCGTAGTAAAGTATTTTTTTCCTCAATTCGACCACATATATCTGACATATCAACCAATGAGGTACTTTGTCCTCGTTCGGACTTCCCAACACTTCTACCCACTTTAAAATCATACATATCTTTTTGTTTCGCAATGACATCTAACTTTTCATTGCCTTCCTTTATCTTGACAGCAATGTAATGGCGAAAATCAGCTTGTTGGTATGAAGAGGAAGAGGGAAAGGAGAAAAATACCTTCTTAGAAGGAACCCCCTCAATTTGTTGTTTCAACATAGCATAATTCCACTCATCCAACACCTTTTCAATGTCATAAGACGTGTCCTTGAGCCGATCTAACCAAAGTCTGACGTTTCTCTCCTTCACTTGTCTCTCCTCTGCATCAAGGAGCACAGATTCAATAGCTTCAAGATTGCTCCTAAGCTTTTTAACTTCTTCGTCAACACCAACGATTAGCCTCGCCTCCTGTTGTATCCCTTCGCGAAGGAATGAAGTCAGATAGTCCCAGATACAGGAAAAAATAGCTTTAGCCATAATCAGATAAGGTAAATATTTGTAAGAAAAGCGAGCAAGAGATATATTTGTGAAGATTTTGACATTCTTTGAATTCTTATACCACATAGATGAAGCTAGAAACCAACAAATGTTACATGGTTGAAAAGGGCCCACCCGCCTTTGATTGATGCCCATAATTCAATAAAAATATGCTAACTTTAATGGCAAATCCCTTCAAAATAGCAGAGTCAACAATGGTGTGCCTTGTAGGCCAACACCTTTGAATCATCTTTTGCTTTGTTCGTGTATGCCTGTATGGTTGTGTCGTATTAATACACTTTTATGTACAAAGCAGAAGTTGCAATTGATGCTTGGAATCCGGTAAAAGTAATGAATTAGTAATGCTTTGCTTTGTTGGCGTCCACTTAATATAGCGTCAACTTTTGTTTTCCTTATTATTGCTAAAGAATTAAATCTCTATTTTTAGTCTAAATTATGTACATCTTTCTCCACGGGACTTTTCATCATTTTAGATTTAAAATACCATTGATGGGATGCATGTGAAATGCAAGTTTGGTTAAATATCCAAAAAGGCCAGCAAGTTCTAAATATTGCAGAATCATCAACAACTTGGTTTTAAGAATCATCAACAGCATCGATATTTTTGTTTATGAGTTTTGTTAAGCCCTACTTTCAGATGAGTGGAAATTGGGATTTTTGGCTCGTTTGATCTGGGAGATGTCTTGTAAGTTTGTATCTCTTTAGCAAAACATGTTTAAAGAATAATACAAAAAGATTGGTAAATTTTCACTTAGGGATTCACTCTGTTGTATTAACTATTACATTGTCAGCTATTAAAGTCAGTATTTATTAACAGAGTTTGAAGGCTAATAATTAACTACTAGACACTAGTATATATATATAAAGCAAATGTTGCAATAAATCCTCAAGTAAATGTATAAAAATACATCTATTATTCAAATTAACAACAAATTTACATTTCTATAAAAGCCAGTTCCCTGTAACTTCATCTTACAACTCATCAAAAAGTTGTTTTACATTGATGTTGATAATATATAACCAAACCTATTGAAAAAAATAGTATTACATCAATAAGTTGTTTTACATCTCTGAATGGCGTTTGAAGGGTACTTTTGACTACCTTTCAAACGCCATTCTTCCTCTCTTTCATAACCCCGAAAAACTGATGAAACTTGAACTAAATATATAAAATTACAAGCCTTAGTATAAAGAAAAAAGTACTTAAAAATTATCAGAGAATTGATGTAAGAAAAGTGGGGGTTATGACCTTCTAGGAGTAAGGACATAAGTTATCTGCAGGCCTGTCAACTTTTTCCAGCATCACACAAAGTTCTGCAGAGGGAACTGATGTCTGGTTTCATTAATCCTAGAGACACAAAGTTCTTAAACTTTTGAACATGACAAAGAACCTTAACCATCAAAATTTTTGGCATCTTGAACTTGCCTCACTGCATCAGAATTAACATAGCAAATCAAGTGTTATTAGAGAGAATATGGCTTTTCAATATCCTACTAGGTAGAAAGACAGCAAAAACAAACCGCAAACGAGTTTACAAAAGTAAGAAATTGACTTTTCTATTTTCTGAAATTAGCTTTTTAAAATGTGTCGATGAATGTGTGTTTTGATGTATCTTTCTAGATTTACAATACAACCTCATAACATTTCAAACTTTCCCAAGTTTGGTTTCCGAAGATGCTCTGTTTCATGTTATAACTACTCTTGTAATATGCTTTCCATTTAAACATCAAAGAAAGAACAAATGAAGAAAGAATAAAGATTAGTGTAAAAGCTCCCTGACAAATAGAGGGATCTGACGGTGAGAGAAAGCAAATGTCAGATATTTAGGCCCGTACTTTGGCATCAATTTTTTTTTTTTGCCAAACATGTTTTCAATAAATGAATTTGAAAAATAAAAAGAACATTAAGTTAATACTGATATCATTCTCTTAAAACACCATTTTGAAAAGAAAAAAAATGCCCTGGTTGAATCTCCAAAAAGGTTCAACAATGTTCATTCTAGACCTGGACAAGGGACGGTCCCAAGGAGGCCCGGGGCAGGTCCTTTTGGGACTGGTCCCATTTGGGACCAGTCGCTCATGGGCCTAAGACCATGAGCAATTTTAGGACTAGGGACCGGTCCTATGGGCCCAAGACTGGTCCTATGGGCCTGCAAAATTTCTTGTTCCCCCCTTATCTTTTTTTATATTTTAGGGGCAAAATGAAAATTTGTAGGAGGTTTTAGTAATTTTTAGGGGTAGATTAGTAAGTTTCTAAAAGTTTAATTAATTTTAAAAGATAATAAATAAATAAATAAATAGTTAATTTTAATATAAATGTAATATTCACATATTCACGCTTCACAAATAAACAATTAAATAATTTTTTTAATTAAATTATTCATCTTCATCGTCAACAATATTTAAATCATTAAAATTTGTATTCCTAAAGAGCTCGAGTAGTTCGGGATCTTCAGGGTGTTTTTGTAATCTTCTTTCTGCATGAGTCCAATCCCGTAAACATGTTATCACTTCAATTATCTCATTAGTTAAAGAACATCTTCTGTCTTTAACAATCCAGCCACTCGTTGAAAATGCTGACTCGGATGCAATTGTAGAAACTGACATAGATAAAATGTCATGTGTCATTTAGGCTACAATGTGGAATCGACTTTCATGTTGGTTCCACCATTGAAGAATATCCAGCTCACGTTTCTCCTTCATCGTCATGTAGGACAGGTCCACTTGTAGGTAGTGCTTCAGCTCATTTGGTCCTTGTATGTATAAGCTGGAGCTGCTACTTCCGCCATGTTCCATATACGTCCACTTGCTCGATCCTTGACGAAGGTCTGCATCAGGGTCCTAATCGTCGCTCCTGAACGTTCCACTTCCACTTCCACTTCCATTGTACATATTCTGATATAAAGAAAAAAAGCTTTCCAATTTTTGCTTAAAGTCAGTCAAATAAGACGTATAATCATGTCCTAAATGTTGGCCTAACTCGGTAGTTATACAGTTAACTACGTGTAATTTAAACCTAGTATCTAAAACAAGGCCTAATCCATATAAGAATGGAATATTTAACCAATATTTCTCGTATTTTTCTTCCATCTTTGAAACAATTTCCCTTAAAACGTCATTATATCTATATTAGGCAAAAGTTTTAGCAATTTGAAGTAAAATATCTAACACTATATTAGTAGTCAGATAATAAATACCACTTAATGTATTAGTAGAATCATAAAAAAATTTAAGAAATGAATAAAAAAGTTCACAAACCGCCCAATCATCATAGCTGACAATTTCCTTTAGATAGTTCTTCCAATTGACAAAATCTGTAATTTGTTTTGCTGTTAGCAAAGCTTTTTCCAACATCAAGTAGGTGGAGTTCCAACGGATAGGCATGTCCGTACATAACTTCAAAAGTCGAACCGGTGGGTCCGCTTGCCTACAATATTTAACGTACTCTTGCCATCTTTTATTGCTACTGCCGACGATAAATTCGATAGCCACGCGCACCCTCTCCATCTTCGAATATATAGCATCTAAACCTGCTTTAACAATCAAATTGATGATGTGGCACGCACATCTCTGGCGAAAAAATTTGCCTTCACCACGCGGATCCAATCTCTTTTTAAATAAAGAGATTGTCGCGGTGTTAGTAGC